ACATTTCTCTAATTTTTGCCCATTTTATTCAAGCGCGGTAATGTAAGCAAACTAAAAGAGATATTTAAGATCTGATCGCAACGCGTCTTAATCTACGAAGACTTATTTTCTATCAAAGATAGGATAGTTAAAAAATCTGAGATAAAAGAGTACAAATTTCTTAAGAAAAAAGAAATTGCCAAAAGGGGGTACTTGATACTTTTCGACGATTTTTCCAAAAATTAATATCTATGGCTTCAAAGCGATTGCAACCAACGAATCACTGATTATGAAAAGGTGGAACATTCTCTATCAGATAAATATATAAAATAATTATATTTCCTACGTAAAAGGTCGAAAATCGCGACTGAAGAAGGTACTGTAAGTGACATTTTCTGAAAATTTTTGCCCATTTGACTTCAAACACCCGAATATCTCGTAAACTAAAGAGATATTTTAAGATCTGATCGCAGCGTCTTAATCTACGGAGCTATTTTCATAGAAGATACGGATAGTTAAAAGAAATCTGAGAGGGTGAAATTTTTCATTCTTAAGGAAAAAATTGCCAAGGGGTGATTGATACCACTTTTCGACGATTTTCAAAATTAATATCTCTTAAACTAAAAGCGATTGCAACCAACTTGAGTACTTGATTATGAAGATTGGAAAAATTAATAGTGACTGTCATGAGATAAAAATATAAAAATAATTATATTTCTACAGTAAAAAGTTTATGAATATGGGTTTCAACCATTTCTCAATTTTTGCCCATTTTATTCAAACATACATATCTCGTAAACTAGATATTTAGGAAGGAGATCTGATCACCAACGTCTTAATCTGCGGACTATTCTCGATAAGATAGGATAGTTAAAAGGGAAATCTGAGAGATGAAATTTTCATTCTTAAGAAAAAATTGCCAAGGGGGGGTGCTTGATACTTTTTTTCGACGATTTTCAAAAATTAATATCTCTTAAACTAAAATTGATAGCAACCAAGAAATTGCTGATTATGATAGATTGGAAAATTGTCTTTCAGATAAAAATATAAAATAATTATATTTCCTACCGTAAAAAGTCGAAAATCGCCACTAAAAGTACTAAAAAGTGACATTTTTCAATTTTTGCCCGTTTTATTCAATCGCGAATATCTCGTAAACTAAAAGAGATAAATATCATCTGATCGCAGCGTCTTTGTTATTGCAAAAATTGAGGTATGGTTGCGGTAGAAGTGACTCCCATTCAGGACACCGTACGAGGGTAGCGGTAGAAGTGACTCCCATTCAGGGCACCGTACAAGGATAGCGGTAGAAGTGACTCCCATTCTCTATTAGCTAAGTTAGTTAAATTGGAAATCTGAGAGATGAAAAAATTCATAAGAATAAATGGGCTAGGGGTAGCGAATATCTTCTAAACTAAAAGAGGTAGCAATCAAAGGTAAGAATATAAAATAATAAAATTTGATAGGGTAAAATGTTTAGAAATCGTGACTAAAAGTGCAAATTTTGGCAAATTTTTATTTTTACAAGTTTTTTTCGATTACGTATATTTCTTATTTCTGGAACTAAAAGCAGCAGAAAGGAACGTATTGAAAATTATTAATCTACGGCAAATTCTCTATAAGACAAAGTATTAAACTAGTGCATGCTGTACCTCAGCCAAACAAAAAATATCGCAACATTTCATGATACGACTACCTGCTGCCCGAACGCGTAAGGCCGACGCAAGGATGGCAACGACAACACGCGGCAAGTTTGGACGTAGCTATTCGCACGGCAATAAAAAATCAAAACAAACACAATTCTCGTGTCGAATGCCAACGTTTGCTGATAAATATAGAAATAGGCAATAAGTCTATTTTATGATTTTTACCTTACACTAGTGCCATCTATAAATGATTCAAGTAGTACTCCCACAATTGAGATTAAGTATTAAAATTAATGAAAAAAGAGATATAAATTCGATTTATGTAATTCAAATTTCTTATGCTGAAAGATTGCCCGATTTAACATCAAATATTTAAGTCATATATAAATTTTACTAAGATAAGAAGTTGAGGAATATATCTTACTGAATGTTCTTCAAATAAAATTTTAAATTTCCATTCCTAATTTTGCTTTAGAAAGAACTTTTTCATTTGGTAACATTGCAGAACAACAATAAAACGTAGAACTAAACTGCAGTCTAGATACTCGGCAAACTCTTTCCATTAATAATAAAATTATCTTACTTACCAGTTGTGGAAGACGGTAAATCGATGGTAAGTTGGTAAATCCTGAAATAAATGAAAAACAAAGCATTATTTTCAATCATGTTGAAATTAATTTTAGTTCCGTCGGAACACAATCATTGCATTAAAATTCTTGTTATTCGCATAATAATGACAAGAATGACAATATTTACCAGGTTGCACATCAGTCCATGCTCCTCTGTTGATGAAATATCGCCTGCCGTCGCCCGACGACAACAAACTCACAAACACGCGAATAAACTAAACACGCAAAATTTAGAATTACGAAGATTACCCACGCGATAAATAGCTGATAGCAGATCAAACACGTTTATTAACACTAATTACCACCAGCGATCAGGCAATATAACGCGATTTAGCCAACTTATATTAAAGAATAACACAAGCCGAAAGTGTGGAATGTGTACTCGTTGTTATCGCACCGATGCAACAAAACAAAATTCACTCGCTGGAATATGTCGAGTTAAACCTGCATCGTCGCGCCATCTGAGGACATATAATGAACCTCACAAGTGTTTCGTACAGTATGGCGCGCATGTGCAGCAGTGCAGAATTGTTTATGTAGCAGTGAGTAGTCACGCATCTAGGTGGTAGCGTCCGTGTAACACACGTATACGAATATATATTTTAAATTATACGAAGAATAAAATGCTCTAAAATGCAAAAATAAAAAATAGAAACATTAGTTTCAATTTATCTTTTAGTGAAAAGGCAATACAAAAATATTGCGGTATAAATTTTTGAAATAATTTAACCCTTTACGTGACCCTGTTGCTTTTAATATTATAAATTTTATTATTATTGGCCAATAAGTCTATTTTATGATTTTACCTTACACTAGTGCCATCTATAAATGATTCAAGTAGTACTCCCACAATTGAGATTAAGTATTAAAATTAATGAAAAAAGAGATATAAATTCGATTTATGTAATTCAAATTTCTTATGCTGAAAGATTGCCCGATTTAACATCAAATATTTAAGTCATATATAAATTTTACTAAGATAAGAAGTTGAGGAATATATCTTACTGAATGTTCTTCAAATAAAACTTTAAATTTCCATTCCTAATTTTGCTTTAGAAAGAACTTTTTCATTTTGGTAACATTGCAGAACAACAATAAAACGTAGAACTAAACTGCAGTCTAGATACTCGGCAAACTCTTTCCATTAATAATAAAATTATCTTACTTACCAGTTACGGAAGACGGTAAATCGATGGCAAGTTGGTAAATCCTGAAATAAATAAGAAACAAAGCATTATTTTCAATCATGTGGAAATAAATTTTAGTTCCGTCGGAACACAATCATTGAATTAAAATTCTTGTTATTCGCATAATAATGACAAGAATGACAATATTTACCAGGTTGCATATCAGTCCATGCTCCTCTGTTTATGAAACATGGCCTGCCATCGCCCGACGGCAACATACTGACAAACACGCGAATAAACTAAACACGCAAAATTTAGAATTACGAAGATTACACCCGCGATAAATAGCTGATAGCAGATCAAACACGTTTATTAACACTAATTACCACCAGCGATCGGGAAATATAACGCGATTTAGCCAACTTATATCAAAGAATAACACAAGCCGAAAGTGTGGAATATGTGCTCGTTGTTATCGCACCGATCAACAAAACAAAATTCACTTGCTGGAATGTGTCGAGTTAAACCTGCATCGTCGCGCCATCTGAGGACATATAATGAACCTCACATAAGTAGAAACTGTTTCGAACAGTATGGCGCGCATGTGTAGCAGTGCGGAATTGTTTATGTAGCAGTGAGTGGTCACGCATCTAGATGGTAGCGTCCGTGTAACACACGTATACGAATATATATTTTAAATTATACGAAGAATAAAATGCTCTAAAATGCAAAAATAAAAAATAGAAACATTAGTTTCAATTTATCTTTTTAGTGAAAAGGCAATACAAAAATATTGCAGTATAAATTTTTGAAATAATTTAACCTTACGTGACCCTGTTGCTTTTAATATTATAAATTTTATTATTATTGGCATTGGCATAAATTTTTGTTTTTGCTTTAATATGGTGTTATTAAAAATGGTTTATTCAAGGGACGGAGATATTTTAATGTACAAATAATACGACTTAAGTCTGGTCATCATGTTAAGCCACTTGCATTTCGCAACTCTACGCGTTAGTGAACTTGAAATTGAAACTCGACCTTCTACCCAACTCGGCGAGCCTCCTTGCCTTCTTCGAGCAAGAAAGCAAAAGTTTACCTGCAACAACAAGCAAGCAGCACGCCAAGAAATTCCACCAGCGAAGAGTGTTCGCTGCTTTACACACTCAGTGCGTACGCAAGAGCAAAACGATGTCGTTAAAAGCGAAGGTAACTCGAATAATTAACAACAGCACACTTTTATTACACGCATTATTCGCTCACCAGCTCAGCAACAATCGATGGAAAAATGTATTTCTCGTTCTCTGCTTATTATTCGTCATTGTTCAGTAATTTTTATTCGTATGACTTGTTTTGGTTGAAAAGGGCACGCAAAATGACCTATTGTCATTTATAATAAGTCAATATGAACTATATTTGAGTAACTTAACTTAAGTAAAGTTCAGTCAAGTTAAGTAAACACGCAAAATTCTTCGGAAATCAGTCTTTAGTCGAGACTTAAGTCTAGACTTGATTCTCAAATCATTATTACACTTTCCGTACTTGCAATTTCAGTGAGTAGGCAATGAAATGGAACTGGATGGAAGCGACGGAACTTTCAGTCGGTCGACATCGTGTGCGTAGTTAAGCTAGCTCACTTCTCGCCGATCGCTCGACGGCATCGACGGTGGGTGCTTCGCGCTGCACGCGCCGGGAATTTGCATTCGCGCGTCGATATCACAAGCCAACGGTTCTCGTATAAAACCGCGAAAACACAAGAATCTTCACCTTTGCGGTTCGGTCATCATATACATTTGATACGTGATTATAGTGAAAAGTGTATACAAAAAACTATTTGAAATATATTTTGATGAAAGTTTTGCGGCGCGTGTTAAGTTTATTTAAGTTTGTAATCAATTTGTTGACGTAATTTATTGGAAAAACGATGGCAGAACAGCGGAAAATTTATCTCCAGCCTTCGAAGCGCGAGAAACGCGATATCGAGTTTGATAACTTGAGTTATATCGTCAAAAACAGAAAAGGTTTGTTAAATTTTATTCTATTTTAAATAAATTATGAATTCCGAATGGCAACTCATCCGGTCTTTGTTATCAGTTAATAAAATAGTCAATTTGAATGTAATTTTCTCGACTTTAGTCTATTGCTCGATGTAAATCCGTTTTAAACTTCAATGCAGCATATAAATTCTGAAACTTTCGCTTTTGTTCAGTCTTAGTCATATACTGAGCCTGCAGCTTATCATTATAAGAAAGAAATCATTTATTACCAGCATCGAGTCAAATAAATATTACACTTAAACTTTAAACTTTAACAACAGCAAAATAACATTAAACACGTGTAACTAATTACAAGATTATTTAACATTGTTTAATATTAAAGTTTTTTGTGCAAAAATTTATATTTAAAGCATTTTCTCCGGATTATTTTTATTTCTACTGCGTAAACGTCCAGAATTTTTTTTCGAGCGGTCGTCGCGTGCGTTGTGCAAGCAGTCATTAATGAACTACATTTCAATGTCACGAGAATATTGTGAATGATAATGAACTTTTTTGTTGGGAATAATTGCGTGCATGGTGATGCGACATGAGGAACATTGTATTGTCATTGCAAGCAAACGTTTTTTTGCTCGTAAATTTAAATTTAAAATGTTTCTATTGTTCCTTTTTATATTATTGTTATGTAGAAATCATTACCCAAAATATTAATATATAATATGATGTTGCAGAGTGCCGATAACATTTTAATTCGGAAAATATCGAGGTTATTTGTATAACGAGCGCGATAAATGTTATTAGTAGCAATTTTTCCTCGCTAGAGTTCATGCCCCACAACTCATAGCCAAAAACCAGTCCAACCGATTCTATTGGCCTATTCCACGATTATCGTATTGCTATCATCATTACGGTAAACTCATCGGCATACTCGTATTATACTGCATCAAGCAATAACAAAAATATAACCAAACAGGTTTTTTTCATTTTTAACATTCAAAATTATTATTATGTAAGCTTTGTATTTATTTATTTTTTATGAAATTAAATTACAGTTAGAAATGTCTACGCACATGTGCATTTCTTTCCTTTAATGTCATTCTGTTGCTCTGTAGTTTCGCTCAACTTTCCGCGCAGCATGCAACATTTGCGTCGCGCGCAATTGTGAAATGTCAAATCTTGTTGGGTCGGTTGGCTCAGTTGCTTTTCGCATGCCTGTAAACTCTTACAAACTTTTTCACGTCAATTACGAGAGAATTAGAAAATGTGTAAATTCACCATAAGAGGAATTCAGGAGTCAAACATTCATTTGGTGAATCAGATTCACGTCAAATGCAATCATGTTTTGCAACTCAACCGAAACCGATTTTATCCGATTCATTTCAAAATTTCACTAATGACTGGCTATTTAATTAAGCAAAACGAAGCAAATTAACAAATAAACGCAATTTTCTTCGGTTGTGTCAGAATAAACAAATGAAAATAATTTGTTTTGTATTTAATTAAAAGTCTTTAAAAAGCAAGACATTAAAATCATATTTCAATATCAATTTAATCGAATTCTATTGCATATTTAGAGCATATGTCGGTTATAATGTTAGAATGAGTGGTGATGGATAATACCTAAAAATATGATGAAAAAACTGTAAGTTTTAGTCGGAATATTAAAGTCATGCACCGTTGACAAACGCAAAATTATTGGTCATTTGCGATTACATTGTCATTAAATTGTCGTAAACTGTCGTTGCACTCGTTGCACTTGTTGCGCATAACTAATGTGCACGTGGACGCGCATATAATGCGTCCATGAAGTCATAATAAATCCATTAGTTTACAGTTGGTATTCTAACATCAAATATTGTCTCTAATATTACTTGATAACGCGCAAAAATGTTGCCAACATTTGATGCCTTCGGGTTCTAGATAGATATCAAAACCTATTTGGTCTGAATATGTGACTTTTAATAAAATTAACATAAAATTTTGCTATAAACTCTAACATTTACTTGTAGGTTAAGAGTTGATATAAATTTCATAAGTAAATTTAAATTTCATAAAGTATTGCATTTTCTTTTGATTGTAAATAGATAATCCTTTGTTTATACAAATAATTTGATTACCCAACACGCGCAAGTCAACCGTTTCATGTTTATAACCGATTCTTGTTTGGTTTTCTAACCGGATATGAGCATAATTAATGTCGGAAATCCAATAATTTTGCACAATATCCCATAAACTAGTCGTTCTTTGTCTACAAGACAAGCGGCAATATAATAAACAAACCGTTTTAACGATTATTCTATGTCAACATATAATTTGCACACAATTGAGCAGGAATGCATAAAAATATAAAATATATAATTTAATTATTATAAGATTTATTACTAGTCTTCTTTCCTTCTGTCAAGCCAGACAAATGCCAAAGGACAAAAATGATTATGATGTAATGGAAACCTTATAAATAGAAACGAGTGACCCGCAGAAGAAAATTGAGTGAGTAAGCAATACTTCGATACAGGAAGTACAAATGAGGTATTAGTAGGAAATGCTTGTCGATGGTTCTATTCAGCAATGACAAGAGTAAAGAATATAAGATGAAACTTTCGCTTTCGCCATATATGGGTATTAAATTTTATAAGACGTTGTTGATCTTGTTTGAAAATAGAATAACAATATAACTGAAGTTTTAAGAGAAAATACATGTATCAATTTATGTACATTGAAAATCAAATAATTTTCAAAGACAAGCACGATGTTTTTATGCCAAATTTGCGTCAAATTATTATTTATTATGATTGCCAAAATTTACAAGGAGACCTACTTGTTTTTATCGATTTTAATGTATGTGAAGGTCTCGCGAATTATTTATGATTAGCAGTCGACTAAACAACAAAAACTTGATTAAATTATTTAATAAGTTTATTAATTCATAATAAAAAATCTGAAAAATTGCTCGATCCTCAGCTAATAACGTGCATTTAATTTTTTGTCAACAAAATTTAAATTCTTTTACTAGATAATTATTTGGTTGGAAGTAGAATTGCTATATTTTGCAATTTTGTCAAATTTATTTGCAAAACTCCTACAGGAATTGTACAAATAGTACTGGACGTAATGACTAGTTAAAAAACGACAACTTAATTATTTTTAGATTTAACAATACGTAAAACTATTTCATTAAAACCTACACTTTATTCCGTGTTGCCTATAATTATGCCTCTAACCTATGCTTAGCAACTTTAATTTTCAATGTGAAAGTAGCAGTTATGTGCTTCATTCAGTTCCAATTGTAATTTTGTAGAATTAAAATAAATTGTGTACATATTTTATAACTGAGGTAATACAACATGACAGAAATTCATTATTTAGGCTAAATCTGCTCGACGCGATAGGCAGTAGCAAATGCAGTGACAAAAGCACAAAGTCAAGTATCAATGAACTCGCTCAGTTGATAATACAGCGCCAAATCGCGTATTAATTCAATCTCAATCCAAGGCATCTAGTATTTAAACGCACAAAATTTCACATACATGAAATAATCAGTTTTGAAACTGTGAAATATTTTCTAAATGATTGATGACGAAATATTTAAATTTATTAATAAGAATTTATTGACAGATCCAATGTCAATATCCGTGATTAGGGTCAATCATCGATGGCTAATGAAACGATTAGTAACTAGTGATGGACAATAGCAATAATTATTCAACTTCTCCGCTGCATTATCTGATTTGAAAGTCATCGAAAGTGATAAACTTAGAATTTCATAATTTTTTTTTGAGTTTTGCAATTTATACTCGCATGTGTGATAAACTCAATTACTCAAACGACGTTCAATTGGGTTTTTAGTGTTTTAGCATTTTATTTCAATTGAGTAATATTTGATCGTCTGGTGCTCGTAACAATTTTATACACTCTTTGCGTATCTGCAGAAAGAAGTTGCTGAAATAGTTAAAGGTGTAGTTAGTTACAGTTTGATTGACGTATATTTAAATTTTAATACTTTTGAACTATTGCTCGATTGCTAAACTTTTAAATTAAATATTTTGCAAACACTTTCAATTCGATGTGTTCCATTTTTGAAATTTTACGATGATGGAAAATGATAATTTCATATTTTAATTTAATTATAATTGTATTTTATGCTAAATTTTACATTTAACTAAAAATTATACCAAATTTTTGTCTTTGCATTCGTGATTTTGGTGAATTAATAAAAATTTAAGTTTAATTTATAATAACAATTCTCACGTAACTTGTTATCGGCGCCGCATCAACAAAATTAGTAATAATTGTATATAATGTTGTTGAAGTGAATATTGGTTCAAAAGTTGCAAATCGTGATTATGCTAATTACGCTTACGATTCACAGTGATTATTTCGTGTGACTGGTGCAAAATGTTGAAAATCAAGATTTTTCCATTATAATTAAAAACGCAGACAGAAAGCCAGGCACACATGTAATTATAAATTCAGTAGAAACATGCTCAAGAGAAAAAATTAAAAATATGATGTGAGAATAGTTTTTATACACTTTACACAATTTTAATTAAACATATTAAAGTAACTACATAGTAACTAATTCATTCGGATGGTAATAGGTTTAATTCATTTCAATATTTAACTAATAATTATGTAATAGTGCAAATGGGCCAAGGGTATCGTTATTATATTTTCCAGGTAGAAACACAACTTATTGAAGTGTGAGTAATATATTGATAGTTCAATTGGTTACGTTTCAAGATATTTTCTCGTTTTATAGTTAATGTATAAATATTTATACAGTTATAAGGTGTTAATCATATTATTATCGTCTACGTCAACTGAATATTACGTTTTGCATCCAGAAAATAAAATAAAGAGCAACTAGGGCTTATTTTTCTGGGATAACAAAATATTCTGAACAATTGGACACAATAATTTTTAATCTTCATTAAATAGTTCATAATTCTTCTAAAAATTTACAAAATTTTATTCACTCGTCATCCTACAGATTTATTTATGAATCGAATGCTTCTCATAATGATGTAGCATTCCCATATACGTCTGAGACATAATTAGCAATTAATTTTCCTCTGCACGCGGCATGAATGACACGCGTTACATAACGAAATCTCTAATTGAAAGTGCGCTGCGTCTACGACTGCGACTGTGAGCGCGGTTTTGTAAAGATTGCCTTTTGCACAACGCTGAATTTCAAACGTAAAATTGATCGCGGTTCACAAGAAGCACATGCATTACGCGCTTTGGTTGCAATATGCCGGCGCGTGTCTTAAACTAGTCCAATAGCAATGGGTGATATTGACCGTAATTCCTTAATTGCTTCAAGCACACGCGGCTAACGTACAAAGACACCACGCACCATATATTGCTGCGAAAAATACATCTTAAACTATTTGATAAGAGCTAAAAATAAAATACGTTTGTAATATAAACTTAGTCCAATCTACAGGTTTTGTTTTAAGTAAACATAATGTTGTTCCTGTTCACGTTAAGACAATTTTTTGTCGCAAATTTAATTTATGTTAATTTGAATGAATAAGTATCTAATTTGTGTTTTGATACATCTAAAATTTTGTTAGTCAAGGTTGCAAGGTTGTCTGTCTATCAGGTTTGCTACTATTTTTTGTGGGTTTCTATTAAAATAAAAACAAAATACTTTGCATGCTCTTAGCTAAGATATTTGATTAAAATTGTCGATTATAAATTTTAATAAATGTAAACAAGTAATAAAGTGGCATTTTAAGCATGTTGACAGTAGAATATTGATTGGAATCAAAACAAAATGCAAAATTAGCGCAACTTTTAAATAATTGCTTTGTTAATTAAATGTTTCTGCTTTTTATAACGGTGATTTTAAACGAATATTATTAAATAGTGTACACATTAAAAATAATTACTATTTACAACCTAAAGAATCAGATAGTATATTTAAAAACTGTTTAAAAATTTATTTAAAGTAAATATTTCACCAAAAATGAGTAAAATGTTAAAAATTTCAAAATTTTGATAATAAAACCATTGATTTACGATATCTTAACGAATATTGAACAGAAATTTGATTTCTTAGTAATATTTTTATGTTATGTGCATGGTGCAGGTTTATTTTGATATCATATAACAAAATAATGACATTGGTTTGATCATATTATGAGTATCCAGGTATGTAATTAGATTCCCAAAACAAATCATTAACTATTACTGTTCTTTTTGTGTAATAGTAATAACATTTACTAGGAAAAAACTTCCATAATTCAAAGTCAAAATACGGTGTTGCGTTTTAGCGCTAGAGCGCATGTGCACTGAACCATTGCGAGATATGCGACAATAGATTAACAAAATCGTGAGAGAATGTTGTGTGTACAAATATTTGTGAATGGCTTAATAAAAAAGTTTCGCAAGTTTATCTTTTATTAAGATTTAAATCATTGTGTAAATCTTTGTATTGCAAAATAATGAAACGAAGACTGAGAAAACTCTGTAACAACATTTTCTTATAAATCCTAACCAATTGTGTGATAATTACGAAATGCCTTTTAAATTTCCAATTACATTTAGAAAATGTTGCAGTGAGATTGACGTTGAATACGACAGGAAAATTATCTGAATTTGAATGTCGCACAGTCGTAGTTATAGTCAAACATAATAAATTGCTGTAATTTTATATTCACAGTGAGCAATTTGATTGACTGTGTTGAAAAAGATTTTAATTATGCATAATTTATTTTTTACTGTTGCAGGAACGAAACAAATTCTAAACAGTCTTTCCGGAATGTTTAAATCCGGAGAGTTGACGGCCATCATGGGTCCTTCCGGTGCCGGCAAGTCGTCCTTACTTAATATACTTTCTGGATTTCAGTAAGTGCCATTAACAATTCAATAATTTATTACCCATCACGGAAAAATAAATTTTGTATAAAATTTCAATTAAATTAAACGCATACTTAATTATGCACACGTGGCTATAATTATTTACGAATGTACATTAATTACCGGCTGATACCTGTCAATGAATAATTATCGTATAAGACGAAATCATTTATTTTTTTGATTCATTAGACAATTTTTATATTTTATATGATGTAATTACTATTGATGAATAGCGTTTAAAGTCATTTTGGAGCTGAGATTGCCGTATTTACTTTTCAATAGATAATTAAGTGAATATCAATCAATATACATAAAAATAACGATTTAAAAAAAGATTGGGTAAGGTATTTTAATTCATTATTAAATTTATATATTCGGTAGAGTTAAGTTCCGTGTTTTTACGTTTCAATCGTAATTATTAAGAGTGAACAACCTATAGAGGAACACTGAATTCAATAATGCATTCTCACGTTTAGTAAAAACTTGTTTCAAGGGCAAATCTTGGCTACTAAAACTTCGCTACAGTTTTGAAGAGCAAGAAACCACAAAAACTCAATATAATATCTTGCTTTGAGAACGAATGTTGTTAAACAACATTTTATGACAATAAGCCCCCAAACGGGCAACTATTTTTAATAGCTACACTTTTATTTCCCAATTACTGTTTAATATGTGTCGCGATAATAATTTTTATATCTTGAAAGTAGCGCAATTTTTGCACTTTGCTCAGATGTATTTGTTGTTTTGCGTAAGTGAATCTTTTTAATCTGTAAATTACTTTACTGCTATGTCACATTTACTTTTCCATTAAAATATGGAAATTTTTGAATGTCATCAAGTTATAATTCAAATTATAATTATTCAACACATTGTGTCCATTAATTTCTCCGCGAGAATGACATCAATTAAATTAACATTGATTCCAGCGAGCATAACAATGGAATGACAATGGTATAGCAATGCAATTTTGTAAAAACATAACTACAACGTCAGTTGCTAAGCCACGTGTCATGCCTTCCATGGCTTTTAATTAACATGCGTCGTCACGACACGATTCGTAGAATCAAGTATCGCCACTAATTACTGGTAATACTTTGATAAAGTGAAATTATTACACACTTAATAATCGATAATGACTTATTATTATTATGAGCTAATTATACTCAATAGGTTACGTCAAAAATGTGATTTTTTTGTTTAGCAAAAGTGGCACGTCTGGTATGATTCGATGCACGGGCCAGGAAGTGAAATCCATTGACAAAGTATCTTATACCAAGGACTCCTGTTATATCCTTCAGGATGATATGTTATGCCCGCTTTTCACGGTTTGGGAGACGATGGTTTTCGCGGCCAAGTTAAAATTGGGCACTACAATACCGCCAGAATCACGTCATTGGCTTGTAAGTCACATAATTTTGTCATAAATTGGAAAAAGTTATAAAAAATATTAAAATGCCTACTTTTAGTTGTCAAATATTTTGGAAACTTTGGGCCTGGCGGAAACCATTCACACACGTTGCAATCGCTTATCAGGCGGGCAACGAAAGCGACTCTCAATCGCGTTGGAACTTATCGACAATCCTCCAATTATGTTTTTGGATGAACCAACCACGTAAGCAAAGAAAAAAAATCAACGTAAACGCGGAAATCAAAAATTTTAAATTTTTTTCTCAGAGGATTGGATAGTTTATCATCGTTTCAGTGTGTGTCGGTGTTAAAAGACTTGGCACACGATGGCCGGACGATTATCTGCACGATACACCAGCCGAGCGCGTCAATCTTCGAGATGTTCGACCACGTCTATGTCATCGCGGATGGGCAATGTCTGTATCAGGGCACGGCCCTGAATACAATTCCGTTCCTCGCCTCTGTCGGCCTTGACTGTCCGCAGTACCACAATCCTGCTGACCATCGTAAGTCAAAACAAGTAAAAAAGTATCCATAATTGCTGATCGTATTCCGCATTCCCATAAAACTCGTCAAAGTCACCGATTACTTCCGTTGTAAATAATTACCGATTCATATTTTTTTCAGTGCTCGAAGTGGCAAACTGTGAATATGGTGATTTTAATGACAAGCTCGTGAAAGCCACACGAGAGAGTAACTGGCGTATTAAGCCTAAGCCACATAAATGTAAGTAAATCTTAATCTTGTGAATAAATTACGTATGTTATTTTCTTATAAGTGCGCCAAAAGTTTTGTAACCAAAATTACTTTATTTAATTTTATAATATTAATAACTGAATAATTGTCGTAATTTGGAAAACACGCACGTAATTATTGTAATTTGTTTCTGTGAGAAACAGTGAATTACATTTAATATGTAATTAAAAAACACAATGAGGTCTAGGTGATATATATCTTTATATGACCCATTATTAACGCAAAAATTATTCATTTCCTTCGCAGTGCAATTAATTCAGCAGCCGTCCCGATCACACCTGCTCACAAATGAAGAACGGACGATGGTTCTGGTGCAAAAACCCTCCGAATTTTATCGATTCCGAGTACTTTTACTGCGAAACCTGATACAATTATATAGAGATTGGGTAAGTTTATTAATATTAGTAATAATTTAATTAATTATCGTAAATAAGGTTCGTAAAATGTGCAAATTTCTATAAATTAGTTTTAAACGCAGCAATTGCGTACGCCAACGATTACTTTTATCGCAAACAATTAATATTATTATTGTTTTTATCATTATTGATTTTTTTGCATGTAGGTTTAGTTAATTATTAATTTATGCACCATTTCCTTTCATATGCACCAAAATAAGCACATTTTCGCTCAGAAAAAGCACAAACATTTAGTTTTATATGGTGATTTATTAATTTTAAGTAAAAAGGTAAGTGTTGCTTGAAATACTACCAGCTTAAAGAGTTATCAACCGTCTCTTAATAACCATCGCCTAATTTTAGCGCTCTTTCTGTATTTGTAACCTTCTGCTATCTACAATCTACTGTATATAAATTCTACCATCATTTTCACCTTCAAGGCAAGGCGTAAGTACTGTTAAAAATCAGATACAACAGAACTAAAATCGCACAGATTGACGCCACTTCTGCCAAAGTACTTTAGCAATGCAACAACAATAAACCACATAAACCTCTGTAAATACTCATCAACCAACTCATAAACATATAATAAATAAATAACAATTTCACCACAATGACAATGAAACTTTTTACATGTTAAAACGATACAAACTTATAAAACATGAATGAAACCGTATTAAAATAAATTCTAAAATAGTTTGGTATGATTTACAGACGATTCTGCATCTTAGATGTGTACTGCACGTGCTCGTAGGAATTTTTATTGGATTGTTATACTACGATTACGGTAACGACGGCTCAAAGACGATGAAAAATATTGGGTACTTTATAATATCTATGGTATATTTAAGTTATACAACCATGATGCCAGCTGCTCTCAAATGTAAGATATTATTTTAATATAATAATTAATTAATTATTAATTCACAATTAAACTGTTTTCAGTGCCGTCAGAAGTGCCAATCTTACGAAAAGAGAGTTTCAACAATTGGTTTAATCTGAGTACTTACTACATGTCGTTTATTATGGTCCACATGCCCTTACAAGTAAGCTTAATTTGATTTAAATATGTAAAAATTGCGTTTATACATAAAACAAACACGAATATGTGAGATTTTTAAGTTATTTGTAAGATAAAATCTTATCACTCGTTTATTCCAACGTTAGCTTGTGGTTTATTTGTGTTATTAACTAATTATTCAATTTTAAGATGATCTTTGCCGCCATATATACCGTATCATCATATTTTTTGACTGGCCAAGCATTGGAAATAGCCCGCATGGGGAAGGTCTCACTGATAATGATTCTGTCTACGCTGACAGCAGAATCAATAGGTGTTATTCTGGGCACATCAGTCAATCCAATCGTGAGTAACTTTAAGCTCAAAATATTTACTTACTGCGATATTTACTAAAATGACGCTGTTTCAGAATGGAACATTCCTGGGAGCAATCTCGCTGGCGTTGTTTCTTGTAGTGGCTGGCTTCTTGATGTTGTTCACGCACATGTCGAAAGTGATGTACGGCCTGTCATACCTGTCTTACATTGCTTATGGCATGGAGGCATGCGTAGAAGCGATGTACTTTGATCGCGCCAGTTTGCCATGTCCGGATGATGTTACTTATTGCCACGTGAAGACGCCTAGCTTATTACTTGCTGAACTAGGCATGGATAAAGGCAATTATTACTACGATGTACTGTTTCTGGTCGGACACGTTCTCATCGGCAAATTCCTCGGCTTCTTCACGCTGCGTCACAAGCTGCGCAAACTTATGCCTTAATTGGAGATGAATATCTCCAAACAAAACGATTTTTAAATTTAATTTGGCGTGCAGAATCTGATACGTATCGATAATGTGTTTTAGTCTGTGATGTTTACAATATTACCAAGATGAGCAGCCAATTCGACGACGCGAATAGAGTGAAAATTGCGTTTACACCGAGATATTTAATGTTATTGTTTGTATATTATGTGAATAAGAGATTAATGATAATGTTGTGGAATAAATTAAGTATTTGTAGTGGTAATTACTATATAACATGATATAAGTACAGAAATCTCAACAATAATTACCTATTTATGGCTTTGATAAGTTTTTAATTTGTTAAATTTGTTTTAGACTACTTTTTATTTGAGATTATTGGTGCACTTTTTACTGGGCATATTATTGGGAGTATTCTACTTTGATATTGGTACGGATGCTGGAACACTTATCAATAATATTGGGTTCGTTGGTATTTCGGTTACTTACATGGCCTACACATCAATGTTACCAGCTGTTTTGAAATGTACGTACAAGACAAACTTGTATCAAAAACTAAACAGATTTTATTCTATTCTAGTACCCTCAGAAGTATTATTCGTCCGGAAAGAGAATTTCAACAATTATTACTATCTTTCGACTTACTACGCCACCTATATTACGATTACTGTTCCTCAACAGGTACTGCTTCATTTAGTTTAAAATTTTAAGCTGCAAATTTCTTATTTGTAGATTATATTCGCGTTTACCTTTACTTCTATCACCTACACGATGACAGGACAACCACTAAGCTTGGACAGATATATTATTTACTTATACGGCGGTATTATGATCAACATCATTTCGGATACTGTCGGACAAATCATTGGAACTTTCTTGAAAGCAAGCGTAAGTGTTGTTTTGATTGTATTAACGTCATTATTAGAAATACGAATTATTTTTACTCATTTTCAGAATGGTACCTTTGTTGCCGGAGTTCTTACTGCATACTTACTCCTATTGAGTGGATTCTTCATCGTTGTACGACAATCGACGGTAGCATCTATTTTGGTATATACATCGTATCATCGTTACGTTTTGCACACCCTTATTGATGCAACACTGGGAAACAATCGCGAAAACTTGCCTTGTGTGTCGGATTACTGTCATTACAACGTCGATTCCATCTTGGAGGAGTACTCGCTTAATTCTCATCCCTTTTATGTTGATGTGATTTATTTATTTACCACTTATATTCTAGCCAGTCTCTTTGGGTACCTCGCGCTTAAAGTTATGACCAAAAAGGTATAAATTCCTCTCTAAATTAAACTTGTATATTACTTACTAGGTGCAATTCTTATATCACTGTGTATAATATAGTTTTAGAGCAGAAACCAAAGTGTAAGGTGGCAGCATATAACTTGTACATATACCAAATAAATACATATGTATCAAAAACCATCAATTCATATGATTTTTGTCCCCGCAGGAAGTTACCTACCTTTACTTGTGTTTATATATTTATTTAAACATTATAACAATATCTACTGAACTATATCACACCTTGGAACACTATTATTTATACTTTTCTTCATTTAATGGTTCATATCCATGTTTCTCTACTTTTTCCTTAAACTGTAGATAGCTTCTTCTCCTATCAAAGTGTTTTACCCATTGCGCAGAGCATGATTGCTCGTACATTTTTCTAAATTGGGCACATGGACTGTCTTTGCTGGTGTCATTTTCTATTTTATGCTGGTCCAAACAAGCCCAGAATTTGTCTCGCGCTCCCCAGCAAAGTGCACGTTCTTCTTTCGTTGGAAACGACATTGTGGTCTTAAAATAGAGCGCTATATTCTGATATAACCTAAATGTAAACAATAAATTTGCAATAAAATTTATTGTAGTTGCCAAATGAACGAAATAATCCTAAGTATTACTCACGGTATAGAGAATGCTCGTTCCGGAAGCACTATTTTTATTATATCAATTATATTTTATACGCGGTGTATTGTTTTAAGTAAAATTTGATTTGAACGAACTTGTAAGACCCACCAATAATTTCTAACCTACACTTTCCTGCCGATTTTGAACGACATTTTATCCGATTAAGTTGAAGATTGTTGTTTACAATGGATAAAAATATTTGTATTCCACTGATCGAGACTATTTACAACCACAAGTACGTATTAACTATTACTGGAATTATTATATTTAGTAATATAAATCACCATTTTGAAAAATATATTGCTGACTTTCACAAAGTGTAATGATGTATATTTGGTTGCCTGTCCAATCGCCACATTATACGCCTTACCAAATAATTGCAATTAAACTAGTCCAGTTAATTAAGCCTGTTTAATTATCCTATTGTCTTTTAAATTAAATTCAATCTCGTTTCTTTATGAGTGTCAGCGAATTAAACGTGTATCTTAAACGTCATCAAATCAGCCAATGAGAGTGCGAAAATGTCCGTCAGTCGTGGATGACGTTTAGGGATGCACGTTTTCTAAAATTTGTTTGTGTTCTTCTTAATAATATGCAACTATATAGTACTACACCAATAAAGCGTAAGTCTATAAACTAAGTGCAATACTTCCAACGTCCGAACATCCTAAATTCCAGTTTACTAGTTAAACTGAGTGCAAAATGTCACAATATGATGAGTTACAACCTTCAGTACAAAATATCATCGAACAGAAGACACTGAAGTGGATATTTGTTGGTGGTAAAGGCGGCGTGGGTAAAACAACATGCAGGTAAATACTTACTAGAGATATTCATTCCATAAAACTATTTTTAAATCCACGTTTGTGTTTAGTTCAAGTTTGGCAGTCCAGTTAGCAAAAGTCCGCGACTCAGTGCTGATAATCTCAACAGATCCAGCACACAACATATCCGATGCGTTCGATCAAAAGTTCTCAAAAGTACCGACGAAAGTCCAGGGTTTTTCCAATTTATACGCGATGGAAATCGACCCGAACGTCGGCATGAACGAGCTGCCCGAAGAATACTTTGAAGGCGACCAGGACGCGATGAAAATGAGCAAGAATGTGATCCAGGAAATCGTTGGTGCTTTCCCTGGCATTGACGAGGCGATGAGCTACGCCGAGGTGATGAAACTTGTAAAAAGCATGAACTTCTCCGTCGTAGTATTCGATACAGCGCCCACAGGACACACACTCAGGCTGTTATCATTCCCGCAGATCGTCGAGAAGGGTCTTGGCAAATTACTCAAGTTAAAGTTGAAATTCAGTCCGCTGATATCACAATTTAGCAATCTCTTCGGCGCGACCGAATTCAATGCGGAATCATTATCGTCCAAACTTGAAGAGATGCTGACAATAATCAAACAGGTGAACGAACAGTTTCGGAATCCGGACCAGACGACGTTCGTCTGCGTCTGCATTGCTGAGTTTCTGTCGTTATATGAAACCGAACGATTAGTACAAGAGTTGACGAAGTATAAAATTGACACGCACAACATAATCGTCAATCAACTGCTGATACGGGACGGCGTCAAGGAATCCGGATGCACAATGTGCGACGCACGGTATAAGATACAGAGTAAATATCTGGAGCAGATTGATGATTTGTATGAGGACTTCCACGTTACTAAGCTTCCCTTATTGGAGCGCGAGGTGCGCGGCCCTGAAAGCGTCAAGTCTTTTTCGGAGTACCTGATTCACCCGTATAAACCTGCGGAGAATTGATTTTGTAACTTGTAGGTAATTCTAATTCAAATTACTTGTAATTATTACGTGGGATTTTGTTTTAACTTGTAAAAAGTTCAGTCAATTATAAGTCTTGCCTGCTGTGGGCCTAAACATTGTTTTCTTAGTTGAGGATGTGAAATAAAACTAATTACTTAAAACTAGTTACGAATATCGCTTCATAGCACATAAACATTGTTAATCATTGTGTGGAAGTCTATTTCACAACCAGGAAATATTTGCACTTGTAAAATACTAAAAAATGAAGTGTTCACTGGGTAGAAATATCTACCAATGAATAAATTTGATTAATTTTATGGTTTGGGTAGTCCGATAGCTAAAATTGAGGTTAGAAACACATCATGATACTAAAATAAACAAATGTCTCCATTCAATTGACATTTACTTATTCACAAACATCAACGGTTAATATTTTTGATTATATAATATAAAAATAAATAAAACATATACCTCTTAGTCACTATCACTGTCATTCCTGTTAACTTGCTGACTTAAAATCCCTTGCTGTAACTGCATCACACTCTCCACCGGCTGTGGCCTACCATCTGGGCCTATTCGACATGGTTTTACAACGCCTGTCTTCGTTAAATCATCCATCAGCTGTACTAGTTTCATGGCTTCGTACTCCTTTTGTTCCTCGGTCATATTTGCCGTTGGATTCGGTTTAGGAACTTCGTAGCAACCTAAAACTGGATTTATTCCATGCTTGAGATCTCTGTATTCTTCGGTGTCGCTGTCATCGCTCTCAGAACTATACACTGATGTGTCTGCTGGTGGGCGGCCACCCATAAGTCCTCTGCGTGCAAATAACCCTGCTGCGTTTCCGTAGCCGGTGTATTTAATCATGCGATTGACGTTTTCCTTGCAGATGACGAAGAGGAGTTCGGCGGCAAGGTCGCGAACTTGTGTTATAGGTGTGGTGAGAAGGCGACAGATGCAATTGCGTAAGGTGTTGCCTTGCTCAGGGCGTTGATGAACGTCTTTCAAAGGAGGAAGAATTTGGAGGCGGAGATACTTACGAATGGGACGTTCAACGGTTGCAATTCGTAGCAGGGAGGAAAAACGGGTGAAAGAAGTTCATGTTGATGGGAAACTCCCTAAAAATAGTAAATATACAATAGAATAATTTTAGTTTTAATACATACAGGTTCTTTGTTTAATGTCCTCCGTAGAAACTCTAAGATCTCGAAGATTCCCTCCATGTCTAAATTCTCAAATCGCTTCTCTTTGATTACCATTCTATCATCGCTTATTGGCACATATAAATTCTTAAAAGTAGTATTCGGCATATTTGTCAATAAATTAATGATGTGATTGACCAACTCATGTTTCCTTTCGATTGATTGCGCCCCCGCAACTAAATATTTACGCAAAATGGTTACCAAATTCAATAGATGTGCTTCCTCCTCCTCATCAAATGACACCCCAGTTGGTCTCAGTGTTAAATTAAACAACGTTTTCAATATTTCACAAGCAGTGTTCACCTGTAAATCGGCCAACTCTGTCACTGCTTCGTTCTCATCACCCTCACCACCTAACAAGTGTTCTAAAATCTCTATTAAATAGTTTAATCCATGTAGATCTTCTTTTAGTTTTGGGCGAATGTTGGAACACAGTGCGCTTATTATAAAGAGGATTTTCATGTCGAAAAATAATAATTCGCTTGGTGGTTTCATGTCCCTGTGAAATACAAATATGGAAATTATGTAAAAGAAGAAAGAATGATGATTTACCTTGATTTTTTGAGACGTTGTGTGATTCCTTCTAATGTTCCATTTTTACAGCACATTGTAGACGCAACGCGACTGTTAAAAATCAAATTACAAAGACATTTTACAGACTCCAATTCAATGTTGTAATGTGACGGCTCGTTGAAGTAAACACCGGCTTTAATGCCCGTGTTTTCTATTAGAGTTTCAATTAATTCGTCGGTCATTACATCGTCCAAGCCGCTCTTTTCACGACTACAAAAAATAATTCTTAATTTTTCTGGGGTCAAGATACCTTAAAATCACCTACCTTAAAATTCTGATTGTATTTAATACATCAAGATGTATGGCTTCTGCATTTGGATTGACTAGATATGAAGTTAAAGCTTTCCATATTTCTCGATCTAAGTTATTCTGCTTTAGCTCAGGAAAAGTAAATAATTTATCATTCTGAAAATGTTAAACATAATGCCACTAGAACCTATTTATACCACTAACAAATTGATGTATTATATATGAATAAATAAAAGAATATCAGACCTTTTTGAGGAATTTCTTCAGTGAACCTTTTGCAGCTTTTATATCACCTGATATTATAGCCTTTACGTTCGCGTCCATGATGGTTCACGTATAATGATTGGCACCACGTTAGAACAAGTCAGAAGCACTGATATTGTTCTTTATTTGTTATAAACTATTTGGTGTTTACCGACTGCAATCGATTTGTTTACACTAACCAGTAGATAGCTGACACAAAACAGGTTGGGTTCCACTCTGAACGCAAACGAAATTAAAATCAAGTCAAACCTATAAATTGGTGTATGTTGGGTTGCCTACTAAGAAACCTGGATTTGCATTTAAAATTATCCTGTTGAGTCCAATTTAAATTAATTTCAGGCATTTTGCAATGAAAACACAGTTTTAAACACTTTTACACAGTACCTACAAATAAAAATATATAACTTTAGTAAAAAATCATCATTTCTTTCTGCTTTTTCAATCAATAATAGGAATATTCAAACTAAAACTACTTCATAACTATTATCCTGAAAAAACTTTATAAAATAACGAAGTTTTGATCAAAACTCAAAGTTCATTCTCTTTTTTGCTTCAACGAAAACGCATAATGTAATGTAGCATCAAATATGTATCAACTCTGATTAAACGGACCTCCGGCAGGCAGAAACTTTATGAATTTATTATGATGTTGGTGGCGTTATTAGCATAACATTTTGATTAAGAAATCCGCCTTTGTTCGCGCGAATGAAATGAGTCCCATTAATGCTGATTCGCCAACTGTAGCCGGCAGCCTTTGTCTTAATATCGTTGCAAACTTCCGCAAGCGTTCCCAGCAGTTTCACGCGACTAATAGAATGTAATATGGCGGTTGATTCGGTGCGTCCTGTGACACCAACCACGCAGGTATACACACGTTGCAGAGTCAAATCTGTGCGCAACTTGTAATTGTAACAGCGCAACTTGTTACTGGTTACTGAGAACTTTTAATGATCAATTAACACACGTACACGCAATTGACATTACGATTCGGTAACAAAGCGGACGCGCGTTATCTCCAGCGTTGGTACCCGAGGATTATCTTCGTTTAATTAATGGTATTATTATTTGTTTTGCAAATTAATAATGAAATCCATTCAATTACTTGGTTGACTTTAGGTAATTTTAAGTAATTTTGAAAAACACGCAAATTTTTTGTGGTCGTTAATAAAATTGCGCAGTTAAATCATGTTTATGTTTTAAATTGTAATTACAAAGTTAGGCCTTGTTCGTCGTGCGCTCGTTTGATGCTTTTAGCTAGATTAGTCTCGCATAGTCGCAGAACGAGACGTGCCCGTTAAAGAAAAGGCGTCGGAGGTGATGAGTTTTGATATTAAAGTGCAATAATGTCATTCGGTATTTAAAGTTTCTCAATTACGGACGGGAGAGTGTTGCTGCGATGCGGTATGAATTTTAAATTCGCATCAGACAGGACCACCCCCAATGTACGAGGCTGTGTTGTAGCTGCGGGGTTCTGAGGTGGAGATGGTGGAGGCGCCGCTTACAGACGTCAGACATACCGCTTTAAATCGTCGACAGGCAGACTGACATCTTTATACCCAAGCAACGTCTGTAATGTTTTCGTATTCGACGAGACACTGCAAACGAAATAAGAGAAAATAATTTCAGACAGGTAAACAATGCGCAACTTTACGTATCATAAAATAATATTTTTTGCCGCAGTGTCAAACATGGACCTGATCATGTAATGTTCAAAACGCAAAATAGAAGAGATATTGGTTTGGAATTGTGTTGTGTGCGAATAAAAACTAGAACATTTCAAATATCCGCATGCAATGAGTTGTTACTCGTATTGTGATCGGAGGATCATCAACCAAATGTACAAACAGCAAACAAAATTCGTTACCTAAAACATTTTTATTCCACAAAATGCAAAAATTCAATTTTTAAATTTCAAAGTTTTAATCAATAATTATTATGTATGCGTTAAACTTTCTTGGAAATATTTTATTGTTTCACGCGAATATTCAACTGAAAATTGTGTTTTTAAGGTGGCAGAGTAAAAAAACAAATAAAAGAAAAACAACATCAAAGCAAATTATAATTCATTCATGTCACGCGCCGCCTCCACGCGAGAAACAAACTTTCTCGTGTTGCTCATTCTTAATTTGCCTCCGGCAATAAGTTATGAGTTTCCGCGTTTTTCTCACGATTAGATTTGCGCATTTGCACAATGTCGTCATGAATTATTCACGAATTCAACCGGATATTATTGAGAAGATGATGATTTTCAAAAGCGTGCAGGTTTGAATCGCGAAACTAGACCAACTCTGGTAACTTTCATGCTTGCAGTTGTCCGCAGGGAGCGAGAAATAACTCAACGTTGATACACTCGCCGGCGCGAAAAGTGGAAATTGCAGGACAGTGGAAAATGTCGGCGGCGCGCACTTCTTCAATTTGATGATGCACACGGGTATGTGTTCCCTGAATCATCTCTTCTACCGTGTGCCTCGTGTGTGGGTGGAGCAGGGAGTTGAGTGCTATGTGCCGTGTGCGAAGTGTTCGAGTAATTTATTATATCAACAAGCGCGCGAAGGCAATTTCTCGTAATTACATTTCAGTTAATACTTTGCGCACGGCGGACAGTCTTCGAGTATGTTGTGCGCCAGAGCGAAAAGTTAAGGACTTTGGGTTGCAGCCTTTCAGGAGTTTCTCGGCTTCTCGGCTATTCTTGACTTTGCATTAAATTACTCAACATTTTATTTACTTCTAAAGGACTCTTACTACGAGTATGTCTAGAACAAGAGAGTAAAAACGAATTACATTTTTATTAAACACTGCCGGAACGAAGTCGCGGGCAACAGCTAGTAAACAATAAATTAGACAATATTATGTAAGTTATCGATTCTAGATATCTTTGTGTAATTATCTCTAGATTATATTACTTGCCTTAAGCTTAGGAATTGTAGAGTTTTGATATAAATCTAAACAGAACTAGCGATGGATAATGGATTGGTTTATTATCATTATGATACGAGTATAACAATCACATTATTCAATAATCCCTTAGCTGTACTAAAATGTTTAGTTTATTTTTACTTTAAAAATTGTTTTACTTTTCTGTTTTTCAATTTCTGATTTTGATTTTTTGAGATTTGAAAACTTATCGATATCAGCGCAAAATGGAATTGTTGCTGATCCCGACAGAAAGTTAAAATGAAGAAATTTTCTATTGTAAGTTTCCTACGTTCTACAATACAAATTTCAGAATTTCCGCGCAACAAAAACAAAACGAAAGCCGGCGTCAAACAAAGTCGATACGAAAAGTCCTCGTAATAGAAAAAGAATATTGAGCTTTAAGCAACGGCTTTACTGACTTCTTGTGTTTACCTTTTCGATGCATATTTTCAACGAGAGTTTTGTTTTGTATTTTACTTTCGCGACGTTGATACTCGTAGCAGTTTTGTGTTTCCTTCTTCTGCAACACTGAACTATGTTCTAATTTTATGTGTCGTTGTTATTAAGTTAGATGTCGGAATGTTGAACACGAAATAAAGAAGTGATTTTCCAATAGCAGAGGAGCGTAGAAAATGGCAGATTGCGGACGCGCGAGAAAAGGGATTTTAAAGCGATTTGAAACGGATCGAGGCGCGGCAACTGCGCCAAATGGATTTGCCTCGTCGAATTGATTCGCAATGATGAAATTCTTCACGTGTGCCCAAATCAAATTCCACAAATTCGCATGCGACTACAAGATGTTGGTGCAGCGCCTCCAACGACATCTGTACGACATTTTGTTTCAATTTTCTTTTACAACGGGATTCAATTCTTTCTAAAACTCAACAATTTTCTGCTATTAACAAAGAAATATTTATTTATTTTGAGAGATTTTGCATTGGCATAAAATGAAATGTTAGATATTAAACATAGTAAAGAGTGTTTTCAGTGACCGCATTTCCGACCGAAATTAATATTTACGCTTTCAAGCTGAATTATTTATTCATTTCGAGTCTCCTATTCTGCAAGTAGCAAACATTTGCAAGTTATTTTAATGACGACAGCAACAGCAACAGCAAAAGCTACAAATTAAAGTGAACCAATGCATAGTGAATAGTATTTCTATTCGGTGGTCAGGGTAATAATCCTTGAAGAGGGGCTTTTCTACATGAAATCTGCTTGTACGGAGCAAAACTATATTAAAAACTTTAGTCAGCCAAGAATCATAACAATAAAATAATACAATTATGTAAAACAACTATCAAAATGTATTTTTTTGGCTTTTTAATTTTTTTTTCTCAAAATTAACAATAAAATAAATAAAAACGTATGTAGTTTAGAAAATAATTGTCTAGCATCATAAGAATATTTTAAAATCATGTTTATGTAAAGAAGCATGGCGTGAAAAAGGTTTTTGTTGTTCGCTTTCTTTACATATCTGGTATTTGCGAGATGAAGCACTCAGCTTCTTGGAAGCGCTGCTGATCTTCGACTTCTTATGTCCTCACGTTGTTGCGCCTAGGCATCTAGGATGCGTGCACTCCGGAGGTTTACGACATGGGCTCGGAGCCGGCGGTTTTAAGAGCATTTCGTAATGAAAGGAAAAAGCGCGGCGCAAAGTTGAAAAATGTGCGAATTCATTATTCATTACTCGTTGGCAAACTTTCATAACAGATAAAACTATTTTACAGTTTTCAAAGTTACAAAAACTTAAAATAGTGGTTTTAAATGCAATAAATATATTGAATTAGAATTAAATTAAAGATGCAAAGTAGTAGGTTACATCAAAGAAGTAGTAAAATAAATATTTTGTAAAATTTGAAAATTTTCACGAAGAAAAAGCGTCACGAAGTTTTCCTGCTTGCTAATTCTTACAAAAATTAACTAAACTATACTGTAATGTCTGTATCTGTATATAGGTAACTATTTTTGTACAAAAAGAAATATAATGTTTAAGTGGATTTTAAAAGAAACACACCTTGGCATTCAGAGCACGTACGTTGGGAAAATTATAATTTCTAAGCGCACTTGACTCGCCTACGTGTTTTTAAAGTTTCCAACCCCACCGCAGTCAGTCGCAGTCACACGCGTCACAAGAATAAGAAACCGGCGTAAAGAAACGAAACGAAACAAAAGAATAAAAAGCCACTTTGTGCCGTTAGCAGAAAACGTGAATTAAACATTTTTATTTTCATATTTTACTTAGTTTTAGAACCATAATAATAATATATTTAATTATTTAGTTAAAAATATAACGAAATATCTTTGCACATAATTAA